GCGGCGGTGTCTACAAAGCCACAACCCAATTTTTAAAATGGCCAAAGGATTTGAACAGACGCTTTACTGTTAAAGATATGTTAAATAAGCACATGAAAAGGTGCTTAATATTATTAGTCATTAGGGAAATGCAGATTCAAACCACAATGAGATACTTATTTAGAGACAACTGCTTGGAATTTGTATAAAATCAAGAGTGCATAGACTGTGCCCAGGACAGAAAGTGAGCCAGTCACTAAACGACAGGACACGCCTTGTTTTCTTGAAGCTCTAAAATAAAATGGGTTGAGATACAGAATTAGACAAATGGACATCTGATACAAAACAGGAATAAACTCAGAAAGAGTGGAAAACTTGTACTAGTTCAATTACTCAACAAACATTTATTGAGGCACTTCCATTTATAAAGTACTGTTGTAGGTCCTGAGGACACAGCAGTGAACCAAACAGAGAAAAGCCCCAGTGCCATGCAGCTTGCTTCTAGTAGGGGAATGAACAAGGTATATGTGTGAGTGGTGGTTGGTGTGTGTTCGTTAAGTTAGACTGTGATAAAAGCTAAACTTTAAAAAAGAAAGTAGGAGAAGAAACATTGGGTATAGCTCACATTTAGGTAGAGAGACCTGGAAATAGTGGCCTCAAGAGATAAGCAGGGTAAAACTGCAGAAAGTGAGGGAGCTGGCTCTGTGACTCTCTGGAAGGCCTTCCTGGCAGAAATCACTGCAAGTACAAAGACCCTGAAATGGGACCATGCTGACAAATTCCTTGACTGGCAATGAGGCCCGCGGGGTAGAGCAGTTAGTGAAAGGGAGAGAAGGTATAGCTGATGAATTAGATGTACTATGAATCAGATGTAGTGTGTAAGAAAAAGAAGGCAAGAATAACAGCATTGTTTGGTGCCCAAGCAAATAGAAGAAAGGAATTTCCATTAGCTGAAAAGAAGTAGGCTACAGGAAGAGTGGACTTTGGGAAGAAAGTCGGGAGTGTGATTTTGGACTATAAGGTATTCACATAGAGATGTCAGAAGGCAGAATATCCAGGGCTATAGGCAGAGAACGAGAGAGTGAAATGTGAGAGTCATCGCAATATCGGTTGCATTCAAAGTCATGACAATGGGTGCAAACACAAAGACACAGGGTGTAAATGGAAAAGAGAAGAGACCCAAGGTTTGATTCCTGGAGGACTCCTCCTTTAGAGATCTGGTAGATGAGGACGGACAGGCGAACCCTTAAGAAAGGGGCAAAAACATTGTGAGTCAAGGGCCTTTGATGCATGTTGTTCATGCTCCATGCATTTTAAGAAGCTGGGTCCTTCACGACCTCATACCTTCCACTCTAGAAGACTGGAAAAAGTGTCTGATAGAGCACAGAGTGATGGCAGTAGCTCACCTTTCCTCAGTGCTTACGTGAGCCAGGAATAGTGCTAAGCAAATATCGGAATTTAGTGGTGTTGTTATCTTCATTTGATACATGAGAAATATATAGATCCAAGTGATAAAATAATTTGCTTAGTGTCACACCACTAGCATGTGGTAGAACTTGAATTCAAATTTGGGCAGTCTGCTCTCTGAGCAAGGGAATACCCAATTCATTTGACAATTGATACCCAATTCATTTGATCAGGATCTCTGATCAGGATAATGACTTTAGGAACAGTATGACTTGGATTCCACCATTTATTCATTAATTCTTTGGAGTTTGTGCATAGTGCATCAATCTCCTCATCTGCAACAGACCAACTCTGTCCTGCATGGAGATGCAGCATCTCACACGTGGAACCTCTTATTATCCCCAAGGTTTATTCTACACCATCACAACCAATTCCATTGATTCAGCCTTCTGACTGTGGCCTGAATATGTCTCTTTCTTTCTACCCTCACACTCTTAGAGGCCGCTATCATCTCTTATCTGAATTTCCTTCTCTCTCTCTCTCTGTCTCTCTAGTCTGTTCACACAGCAACCAAAGTGATCTTTCTAAAATGCAAATCACAACGGGTCACCCACATTGGTTGAAACCCTTCGCTGACTCCCTGTCACCTGCCAGATAAAGCAGCTTGCAGGTCATTTCTTTAAGCTTTTCCTGACCCAGACTATGTTAGGTTTCTATTCCATGTGATCTTGCTGTACTTTCTGTAAGATAGTACATTGGGAGATGAATTGATACTGTTTACAAGCCTAGGCCCCTTCTCTCCCTTCATGTACCCTCTAGGACAACGTAAATCTCTATGAAGGCAGGATCATACTCCAATAAATCCTCAGTGTCTAGTACAGGGCATGACACTGAGCAAATGTTTCTGTAAGAATGATGCATAATGTTGCTGGTCAAATGACACAAAGCATCGCTAGATGAATGACGCTTAATATCGCTGAAAGCATAAATAAATGAATAAGAAAGAGTATGCTAAGGCAAAAACTGTTTATTCATGTTTAACTTGCAAGAGGCAGAAGTCTCATTTCTTTGTGCAAAGGCAGAAGAGATGCTTCTAAACCAACGTCAAAATTGCAACTAGTGAAGAGTATGCGAGAGGAAAGGCAGAAAGGTCTGTACAATTGAATCACAGGATAAAAAGGACACGAAGGACTTTTAATTCTAAGTCTGGATCAGAAACTGGAAGCACATAGGTCCCGCACATCTGGTTTGCTTGCTTGTTTTGTTATGGATGCCAAGTTTAAAAGGTAGTTGTAATGCAGTAACCCCAAATCTGAGAGAATTCGCATGTAATGTTTACCTGTTCCAGAGAAGTCACCCAGAGGTTCAGCAGGAAAAAACATTGATTTATTAAAACTTATGGGAAGCACTGATGGTAGCAGATAGTGAAGAATCTACACCTCGGGGCAGCACAGCCAGCACTTTTATAATTAAAACAGTCAAGCTAATCATTCAATTCCTATGTGATGTTTGCAATTACATTGATTAAGAGTGAGGACTACATTGCTTTCGGCTTTGCTTGGTCACCTGCATCCCATGACTCATTACTGGGAATATGCGTACCCTTCAGAGACCAACCTTGGCCAGCCTGCTGCTTCCTGAGGGAAGGGGCAGAAAGAAGCCAGGTAGAATGGGAAACAGTCCATGTTCTGAAAATACCTCACAGTAGTATAATGAGACAAGTGTGATCCTTGGTCACAAGACAGGCAGCTTAGTACCTGGTCAATATCAAACAGCTTAGCATCTTCCACACACTTCTTTTACACAAGCATTTGGGCTACATGCCCCTGGGAAACATGTAAATTGCTACCATAGTCAAATGAAAGGAGATAAAGTAAGAAAGTCACCCAATCATTGAGCCTTAGAGACCCTTTGGAAGTGGTGTTTATGATGACCTAGAAGAACCGGAAATGAATGACATGCTCTGCCTCCTAAAATTGACGGGGATCACTTCATGTGTATCCAAGCACATCCTCTTGGAAGTGATGTTATATTTTTAAAAAATCTATAATTTTCTGGCCCAAATGGCATATTTCTAGTTTTGCTTTCTGGTGTTTGCTTGATGGCTGAGTATGTTTTGTAGGTTTCCTCAAAGCCTGGCCCAAGGACAAGCAGCACTGGCATCTTGTAGGAATTCATTAGAACTAACAGCAGAATCTTCATTTTAACAAGATTTGTATTTCTTTTTTTGTTGTTGTTATTTTAAAGATGTGGGATACAATTCGGGATTAGGTATGCAAGTAGTTATCAGACAGGTAAAGTTTGGGCCTCTCTTTGGTCCCTGTTTTGCCTAGTTTGAGATCAGGTACCCTTATTGATATTATGTGCCCCATGCCCCTGGCAGTATCCTGCTACTGCCAATCCCTTTCATTTTCTTTCTTTCTTTTTTTTTCATTTCAACTTGTCTTTTTATTATAGCATGAGCTAAATTTAAGAAACCCTAGTCTTCTGATTTTATTTCCCAGCACTGTTAAAAGTCTAAATAGCAATATAACTCATTATGAAAGCATGCTGAAAAGCACAAGAGCGATGTCAAGTGGTAATCAAAGTTCCAGACATCGTGGGACTTAGAGAAACTAAAGAAAAAACCCAGCCAGTTTGTTAAGCAGAGCCCAACGTGACAGATAGGATGCAATGGCTCAATAAGGTGCTAAGTAGGCCATCAAATGCACACAGGAAACCGGGTTCATGGTGACAAGTCACAACCTGAGAAATATTTCCTTGGGATGATTCTGTATCTTTTTTTTTTTTTCTTTTTAAGAGTTTCTTTCATTCAGTAACTTCATTTCTTCTTTAACATTTCAAAATTAAACTCATTCATCAAACACGAGTAATTTTTATAGGTAAGGTAAATCACAGGATAACATATTTGGATAATTTTGTTTTTTTTAAAATCAAGGCCGGGCTCAGTGGCTCAGCCTGTAATCCCACGCCTTTGGGAGGCTGAGGTGAGTGGATTGCCTGAGCCCGCGGGTTCGAGACCCACCTGGGCAGCGAGACCTCATCTCTGCAATAAATCAAAAAATCAGCCGGGCGTGGTAGCGCATGCCTGTAATTCTGGCTACTCGAAAGGTTGAGGCGGAAGGATCGCCGGAGCCCAGCAGGTAGAGGCTGCGGTGGCCAGGAGCGGCCACTGCACTCCAGTCTGGGCGACAGAGTGAGACACCAACTCAAAAAAAAAAAAAAAAAATCAAGAAGCCTTACACGATCAGAGACTGCTGGCATAGGGATGACAAATGTATACTTCAGACTTTTATCACCAATGAAAAAATAAAGCATTTTTACAGACTTAAACTGTTATTAGTGTATTTAGATTTTGGAGACGGAATCAAAAATGTAAAATACCTCTACAGTAATACAATGTTAATAGAAATCAGTATTATACTGAGGTTGTTTTAGTAAGCTACCATTGTTTAAGTATAAGAAAAGTAATTTCTTGGTCCAAATTAGTGGAATCTTTAAAAAAGATTGTCTTTTAAAGAACATTATTTGAGGGCAATGTCTTTTCAGACACATTCTAATATTCAAATTCACTTTAGATCAGGTTATAGATTAACCTTTTAATTACGTTTTTCTTAAAAAGCTGAGAGATTTCCATTTCTTCAGGAGATATTTTCACCAGTGTGCTGTTCAATCCCACAAGTCAAGCTTTCTTCATTATTATTAAGAACTTCATACATATTAGAGAGATTGCCATTCATTGCTTTTTTGTCTTTTTGAAAATACACAGGCAGACTTGCTAGACTAAAGCTGACGTCTTTAAAGGCATGCAACAAGAATATCCCCACAACGATTGTAAAGAAGCCACTTAAAGTGCCAATGACATCATCAAAGGCATATCTTGCCACTCCTTAAAAAGAATAGCCGAACAAGTTAAAACTGATGTTGTAAAGAACACATAACATATTGGAGTCACAATGGACATGTTGAATATATCCAGGGGCCTGTTCAGGTAATTAATCTGTGTGCTCACACAGATGATGAGGCTCAGCAGCAGAATCCAGGCCAGGGGGTGCCGCAGTACAGGCTTTCCAGCAAACAGCTCTTTGATGGCAATGCCCAGGCCCTTAACACAGGAGACTGAGAATGCGCCAATGACAGAGCAGATTGTTATATACACAGGAATGTTTGTCTGCCCGTGGTGAGGACCCACCACGAAGATTAATATCAAGGCCACAATGACCCAAGTGTTGCAAAGACCACAAAACCTGGATCACCTAACTTGTGAGACATTTCATTTATGGTCTCAATCTCCTCTTCTTTTGGAGCATGAATGACTATAACTGTAGATCCTAGAATACTTAGCAAACACCCAATTTTCCCATGAAGGTTAAGTCTTTCATTCAGAAAGTATGAAGAAAGAATGGCACTTACTAGGACGCTGAGAGCTCCTAGTGTAGTCACTAGCGTGGCTGGTGCAAACATGTATGCAGCAAAGTTGGCCACCTCCCCAGCTGCCATTGACAGCTGTCCAGCCCACCACAACCATTCTTTTTTTTTTGAGTTGGAGTCTCACTCTGTCACCCAGACTGGAGTGCAGTGGCCGCTCCCAGCCACAGCAGCCTCGACCTGCTGGGCTCCGGCGATCCTTCCACCTCAGCCTTCCAAGTAGCCAGAGTTACAGGCATGCGCTACCACGCCCGGCTGATTTTTTAATTTATTGTAGAGATGAGGTCTCGCTGCCCAGGCGGGTCTCGAACCCACGGGCTCAGGCAATCCACTCACCTCAGCCTCCCAAAGACGCGGGATTACAGGCTGAGCCACCGATCCCGGCCACAACCATTCTTTAAGATACGCATGGCCCCTTGACCCTGCTCTCATAGAGCCTTTTCTGGCAAGTTGCAAAAGGCCTTTTTTTTTTTTCCAGAATGAAACTTCCTCCAATGAAAATGTTGGAGCTCAGAGCTAATCCAAGACCAATATAAAAGTCATATTTTCCACGTCTTTGGCTCATTTTGTTTGTTACTTAAAAAGCTCCTGTAAATTACACTGATCACAGAAGAGAAAAGATGCTGGTACTGGAGGCAGAATGAGGCAGTCTTCAAACAGTTTGAAAATAGGACATCAGTGTGAATGCCCTGAAAGGAATAAGTTGCTTTGCTATTCTCAGACCTGGTCACGCTCTGCTCCCACTCTCTGTAACCGAAGCTCAATCACAGCTGAGAGAGCCCGAGGGAGGAGCAGTCCCGCGGCTCACACCCCACAGGGGCCACCTGGCCTGGAGCGCGGGCGAAACCGCCAATCCCTTTCTTATGGTATTATGGTAAATGTTCAGGGTCTGCTTATGAGTGAGAACTTGTGGTACCCAGTTCTTTGTTTCTCTGACAGGTCACTGAGTATTATAGACTCCAAATCCATCCAGGTTGCTGTTTGTCCTCCTTTATGACTGTGTAATATTCCATCTTGTATATGTACCACATTTAAAAAATTCAGTCACATTTTTAAAATGAATTTTTAAAATTCAGTCACATTTTAAAAATTCAGTTTCAGCATGGTTGGTTCCATGTTTTTGCTATTGTGAATAGTGCTTCAATAAACATACATGTGCAGGTATTTTTTTTGTAGAATGATTTGAGTTGCTCTGGGTATATATTCCCAGTAGGAGGATTGCTGGTTCATATGGAAGGTCAATTTCTAGTTCTTTTAGAAATCGCCACATTTTTCCATAGAGGCTGAACTAGTTTGCATTCCCATCAGTAGTGTAGAGAAGCGTTCCATTTTCTCCACATCCTCTCCACCATCTGTTGTTTTTTGAGTTATTAATGATGGCCATTCTTATTGGGGTTAGATGGTATCTCAATGTGGTTTTAATTTGCATTTCTCTAATGATTAGTGAGTCTGAGCACTTTTTCATGTATCTGTAGGCTGCCCATATGTCTTCTTTTGAGACATGTCTATTGATGTCTTTTGCCTACTTTTTAATGGGGCTAAGTGATTTCTATGACTATCAGGGAAGAGCAAGATGTCAGTGGTTCTCAAAATGTAGTTCCTGGGCCAGGAGCATCAGGAACTACCTGGGAATTTGTTAGAAATGCACATTTTTAGTCCTTTCTCAGAACTACTGAACCAGAAACTCTGGGGTGATGCCCAGTACTCTGTGTTTTACCAAGCCTTCTAGGTGGATGCTGGTATTTGCTAATATTTGAAAACCACTGATTTAGATAGACAGCAAGACTCAATCAAGGGACTGCAGGCTTGGGATGTGATGACTGCCCTGATAGTCAGGAGATAAGGATGCTGGATCTGCTGCCAGTTGCAATTAATTAGCTGTGTGAACTTGGGGAAATAACTTGGCTAATTAACTGGATCTAGTTTCCTTAACTGTGAAGAAAAAAGGACATAAGTTCCTTGGAGTGAAAGTTGTCCAAATGCAACATGTGGGGATTCAGATGGTTTATTGAGGGCCCTATCAGAGGTTTAATTATTTCAGAAGTAAAATAATAGCACAACTAATACAAATAAAAATAAAATGTATTGTGCTTACATACGAATGCCAATGTTGAAATATAGGAAATGAATGCTACAGAACTGTTACTGAATCTCACTGTACGTGCATTATGAGATCTGGGCTGCAGAAGGCTGATCAGTTCATTTCAGCTAACCTTTAGTTAACAGGGTGCAGATCATTTCACTAATGTGTTTTCACATCATTTACTTGTTATCATTTACATTTATTAGTTTCCCAATTTTATTTGTTGCAATTATATTATGTTTTAATCACAATTTATAAAAATGGTTCGATGACTGGTGAGTAGCTCATTGATGCTTTGAAGTGTCAGTGCAACAGCTATATAAATGCTATTTCAGAATCACCCTGTGGATGTAATAAATAGCTCTGGGATGAATGTAGAATTTGGACCTGATTATGTAGGGACAAGTGAATCTTCAATATGAGGATTTACCTTGGGCATTTGTTTGAAAGAGTATATCATGAAGTATAGAGATAATCTATTATTCTTTCACCATGTTGTCCTGTCATGAAACTTTTAGAATATGCCTTCATATATGTTGCCTTTCTCACTGATGAATTAGTCAATACCATACTCTATCCAAATGCTTGTAAATGCAACACTAATGACACATAACACATGGGCAAGAAAGGAGAAAAAAAACTTGGTGGATTCCCTTATGACAGTATTAGACAATAGCATAATTAATCCCAGTAATGAGCACCTGCTCATACTCACGTGTGTATGCTAATTGGATGATCCCATTAAAATGAAAACTATAAATTTCCTCCATGCACATATGTGCATGTAATGGAGGCATGCACAATGACTTTCAAAAATATTTACCTATTTATTTTATTTGTATAAATGTATAGTGTACAAGTATAATTTGTTACATGGATATATTGCATAATGGTAAAGTCAGGACTTTTAGTGTATCCATCACTGGAATAACATACATTATACCCATTAAGTAATTTGTCATCATCCACCCTCCCACCTCTTCCGAGTCTCCACTGTCTGTCATTCCACACTCTGTGTCCATGTGTCCACATTGTTTAGCTCCCACTTATAAGTGAGAACATGCAATGTTTATCTTTTTCTGTCTGAGTTGTTTCACTTTAGATAATGGCCTTCAGTTCCATCTATGTTGCTACAAAATACATGATTTCATTATTTTTATGGTGTGTGTGTGTGTGTGTGTGTGTGTGTGTGTGTGTACACACCACATTTTCTATATTTAATCATCCATCAATGGACACTTAGGTTGACTTCATGTCTTTGCTATTGTGAATAATGCTGTGATAAACATATGAGTGCAGGTATCTTTTTGAGATAATGATTTCTTTTCCTTTGGGTAGACACCTGGTAGTGGGATTACTAGACAAAAAATACAATAACTTTTGCTCTGCTTTCATCTGTCACCCAGACCATATAAGATACTTGTCATTTAGCCAATGCTTAATTTGTTTGCCAGATGTAGACTGAAAAAGGTATCCTTTGTCAGCTCTAGTGGAACAGCAGTGATGTAAGAGCCAGAAGGGGCATCTCTCTGGGAACAAAAGATCTAACTCCTGAGTGCCAAGCTGCACACTGCTTCATTCACAGGGAAGAGCTGACATTCAACAATGTGCCTCTTTTTTTTTTTTTTTTTTGAGTTGGAGTCTCACTCTGTCGCCCAGACTGGAGTGCAGTGGCTGCTCCGGCCACCGAGCCTCGACCTGCTGGGCTCCGGCGATCCTTCCGCCTCAGCCTTCCCAGTAGCTGGAATTACAGGCATGCGCTACCACGCCCGGCTGATTTTTTTTTTTGATTTATTGTAGAGATGAGGTCTCGCTGCCCAGGCGGGTCTCGAACCCGCGGGCTCAGGCAATCCACTCCCCTCAGCCTCCCAAAGGCGCGGGATTACAGGCTGAGCCACCGAGCCCGGCTAACAATGTGCCTCTTGATCTTGATTCAGCATTGATGGCTATCATGACAATTGTCAACATAATTAAATCATGACCACTGAGAGAATGCATGTTCAGTGGGGGAAGAAATATACCAGTTGACTTCCACATTAAATAATTCTGATTAATTCACATGGCAAAGTGCTTATGTGAATTTTCCAAGTTAGGTTTCTTGAAGTATAATTGTAGTATTACGTAGCTATTATTGTAATCATGAGATAGAACATTTCTATCACCCTAAAAACTTTCCTGTGTCCTTTTGATTTCAACTCCTCTTTCTCATCCCCAGGCCCTGATAACCTCTCATCTGTTTTCATTTCTAATTTTACTTTTTCCAGAATGTCTTTTTAAGTTAGATTTTTTTCTCAATTATTTGTAAATTTTTTGATGAAGAAAGAGATAAGACAATATTCTTAAAAGGCAGAAGAGTTTTTTTTCATTGATTTCATGTGATATACTCAAGAGCAGAATCTCAGTAATATATTTATATCTTCAGTATCTAAATGTGTCACTGTACAACCAAAACACTAAGATTTATCAAGATCAAACAGTGGAGCAGATGCTTTGATTGACAAGAATCTGGCTCGTCCCCCCAAGTTTGTTGTTTTTCACTTCTGAGAAAAAATAACCAATGATCTTATTGGTCATTAAGTGCACACACACACACACACACACACACACACACACACACACACACACACTACATGTATCTACACAAGTACTGCTAGAGTATGAGACTGATTTTAAGAGCCTAAAACAAACAAAGAGTGGATTCAGAATTCATTAGTTATCATCCTTCAGATGACTTATTCAATGTTACAGCTTTTGAATGTGATATGGTGCATCTTATGGTACACTATAAGTGGTCTTCATTGAAATCCTGTACATAATTTCTTGGTCCATCCATGTTCAATGAGACTATCTAAAACTGTTGGAGCCAAGAATTGCTTGCCATCATTTTTACCTCTATTTTCATATTCATATTTCATTCATAGTTTATTTAACTAATCTGCTTAGTTTTTCCTTAATTTATATTCATAGCATCATGATCATTTTATTATTCTGTGTGGCACAAACATTTTTGAGGAATTTAGGCCCACAGAGCCTTTCGGAGAAACCAAGAACTGCTTTATAGTTTGAAGCTGCTTTCTTCTTTTTTCTGTTTTCTATGAACCTAAAGAAATGAAAACTCTCAGTTGAGATTTTCAGGAAAGTACCTGACTACTGGTCGATTCAATGAATTGCTATGAGAAATTGAATATGCAAATCATTTTTACACACACATTTATGTAGGAAAACAGCTGCACATCTGTATCCCCAGAAGTGCCTATTGATTAATATGCGTGTAACCCAGAACTGCCCATTGCTGGGTAATAAGAATTCTAAATGTACTTGACTGATTTTCAAGTAAATCTCTGGGTCTTCAGCACTGCAGTTAAATGCACCAGGTTCGAAGCTCATTTCATGTTAAATTGACTTCCTACCCCGTGAAAGAAGTTCCAATTTTGTATTCAATAGGTTTTTTTTGGGGGGGGGGGATAAAATACTCCAATTCACAGCAAATGATGGACTTTACAATGTAAAGAAAACCATCTGGTAAACTAGAATGTTTTAGAGTGATTTAAAATTTAAAAAGGGGAAGATGACTCCTATCACGCAACAGCTGAAACACCAAATGTAACAGAAACAACAGGACTAGGTTGCCCCTGATGAATGAGCACTACTTTTTGATAGGGTACTTATAAAATTCAAATTATATATTAACAATTTCACTTG